TTGGGGGGTTTTTGGAGTAATTCATTAACTCTGTTAATATGGAGCTTCCAATAGCCAATAACATATTGTTAAGATCTATTCCAATATTATTAATAAGGTATAAGAATTTATGATGACCGATTGAATGCGTAATAGCGTAACGAACAAACAATGTTATTTATTGTTAATAAAGTTTAAAACATCCTGATTAGCTAAATCTAAAGGTATTCTTCCATTGCTATTTCTTATGTTTATAAATACCTTATTCCTTCTTTATAATAAAAAAATGTTCTATTACACTGAATTTTAACACAAAATGGCTAGATGCGTGGTGTATTTCTTCTGCGTTTCCTAACTTAGGATTGGCATAGTGTAATAAATGCTTCACAATAGATCCATTGTTATCAATACAAACTGCAATGCATAGAGATGTATCTCCTAATACGTTCTGTACTGAGAATCTGCTCCGCACTCTAATAAAAGCTCTACTACATCGGGTTTTTATGTAAGGCAGCTATATGTAGCGAAGTATGGAGGTACTGCTGTTTTATTGACAACATCTTCTATATTAGAATTATAATCTACAATAACATCTTCAATGCATGATAGAAATGTTCTGGTGTCATATTTTGAATATAAGTATGTAGAGGAAAGCTTTCCTTTTTATAAAAATCCAACACTACTTTAATAGCATCATTTAAATTTTAATTATTGCTCAACATAAATGCTTCTGTTAATAGATATTCCTATCTTACTATAAATAAGTGAATAAATCCTAATTTTAGCATGTCTATTTTTTCTCACTCGTTAAGTAAATAGATTTTATATCTATTTTAATAACGCTTCTTGCACGCACTTTATTAAATAGTCGGAATTAATATTAAAATGCTCATACAACGTTCTAAAAGGCGCTGACTCTCCAAAACCCTTCACACCAATAAAAATGCCATTTGATCCTATATATTTATGCCAGCCAATATCGCTTCCTGCTTCAATTGCAACTTTTATACTATTATTATTTGA